CCCAATAAATTGATTTAAAAAAGAAAAAAATATTTTTAAATAAAATATTTTAAGTGTATGATTCAATTTTTATAAATTGTACTACTAATTGAGTGAATTAAACATTGCTTAAAACCATGTGATTAAATGTTATTATTAATTCACCATTATTTATTTACCAAATTCATTATTTGTTTACTGAAATGATATATATTCTTATGGTTATACTAGAATATAGGGTATTATATAAGTAAAAATACATGATTCAATATTAATGACATATTAATTAAAAAAAACAATTTATCTTTTTCAGTTTGATTATATGGGCTCTGACATAAAGGTTGTGACACAGAAGGTTATTCTGATAATTGGCCTTGTTAACGCAGTAAGTTTTAGAAAAATACTTTTTTATATATTTTATAAAAATAGAGTTAATATGAAATTATGTATATAGAATTTGGGTGTTCTGAAAGTTTCCATATACCAAATTGAATGTTCTTATATATATTCTGGAAAAGTTTAATGTAATATTCATATATCCTTAAAATTTTTCATTTATCTTTTTTTCTTAGATGTTAACCCAGTTAAAACTCACTGTTATAATATCTTCCATAGAAATCTGGTCAAATAAAAACCAAATTCCTACTACTGGGCATCCTGATCATGTATTACATAGGTTGTTAGAATGGGAACACAAATATCTTGATCTTCAACCTCACCATAGTACATTTTTGTTTTCGTAAGTATAATATTCTGTATTTGAATAGCAATAGAAGAATAGCCCTAAATTATGTAATATGCAATAAGTTAAAATAAGCATTTATTTAACATGCCTTATATTGTAAGAAATAATGAACACAATGGAATATACTGTTTTGGTAGAAGTTAATGTCTGGCATGTGTTATGAGCTTGAAATTACCAGCTATAAGTAAAATTACATTAAAAAGTTATTGAAATAAAAATAATTTAATTATGAGCAGTACAATTTATTTGATTTTTCTTGGCTTACAAATCTTGTACTTGTTATTTTATTTATATTTTTGGTCTTTTATCCAGTTAATTCTTACATTATAAATTTCCTATAAGTTAATATTTTGAATTATTGCAATATCTAAACTCTGATTTATAGAAAAATCTATTCATTTTTTTAGTGAAGATATGAATCAATAAGTCATCAAGTTACCAATGTAGAAAGAGTTTTTTATGCAAAGTGGATGATTAGGGCAGACTGGTCTAGTAAGGGCAGAAGGGAGAATGAGAATATTTGGTAAGTACTAATTTGTTAAGTACTAATACCTAGGAAGACAGAGTTGGCTGTGTTTAGCAAAATCTGCTTCCTCAAGAAACAGGTTAAGGGATGTTTATAGACAAGGCTTTGCGAAAGGGTCTTCCAGAGAAATCTGTCCTGTTAGATAGGCCTTCTGGTTTTCCAGCTGTTCTGTTAGCTCAGAGGGTTGCATTTACATTCTGGGTGCATTTGCATTCTAGCTGCAGGTATTGTTAACTCAGTTTCTGCACCTTAGAAGGAGGTATGTTAATCTTGTCTTCTAAAGGAATCAGCAGTAGCTTAGCATTAGCAAAATGCTGAGGGACAGTTCAGCATTAGGATTAGTATAAGTGCAATGGCACTTTGCATAAACGCTTAGGCATCATCCTTTTATATTTCTTGATATTTATAAAGTTCAAAATTAATAAAAAGCTAATGAAATAACTTCAATATTAAAGTTATTAGGAAAAAAAACACACCTAAATAATATAATGCACGGTGATTTGGACACAGCCATTGTTTGCTGTTAATGAAAATTATTTTTGTTTATTATACCACTCTAAAATGCCCTCTAAAATCATTTTTATTTTCTAGCTTTAGAAAATATCCTAGTTTTATGGGAACTACCTTTCCTGGAAAATTCTGTGACATGAATTATGCCAAAGGAGTTGCTTTGGTAGGTCATTCTTATCTAGTTTGCTCTTACAATGTTCATGTTTCAAATATCCATTCATAATTTAAATATCGATATTTTAAATCATGAAGAAATATATTATTTATTGCTCTTTTTATAATTTTTTCTATTGCTGATTTGGAGAAAATATTAAATTAGGCGTGGCTTTAAAAACAAATGGAACATTTGAAAATTCAAGCAATCATGATGGTATATTATAAGTCAAATTTTAAATATTTGAACACAAGTATGCTATGCATCAATCTTTATAACCAGTGTGATATTAGGTTAATTATTAAATGTATTATCTACCCAGATTTCTGTCTAATTTAATATTTGGTGTATGTCATACATTTTAATTAAATAACATTGATTTTTCTCTTTTAAACATCAATTATCATATTCGGTTTTTAATCATTTGTTTGGAAATAGCAGAGCAGATTGTGATAGGGAAGAAACAATAATAAAGATGTTCATGAGATAATCTCTATTATTGAGAATAAAGTCTATTTCAAGATATATCAAAATCAGGAGAGGATAATGAACTAAAGAGTACCTTAAAATAAATCTGCATTGTTTTCAAACTGATTTACTTGTTGTTCTGTGTAAAAAAGGTAAAAAAGAACATAGAATCTGATTTTTAAAATGTCATCATTATTATATGGGTTACTTGGGAAAGCTTATGGATATAATTATCCTACAATTGCTTTTGATACAGAACCCAAACTTACTTACTTACTAAAAATAAGCACCCTACTGAAAGGAACCCTGATGGTGTAGTGTTTATGTGTTTGGCTGCAATCCTCAAAATAGAAAGTTCAAAACCACCAGCAGCTCCATGGGAGAAAAACTGGGCAGTCTACTCCCATAAACAGTTATAGTCTCAGAAACCCACAGGGGTCTATGAGGCAGCATTAACTAAATGGCAGTGAGTTTGTTTGAGACCCTAGTTAAAAGTAGTGTCTCCTCAATTTACCTAATTAGTGAGTTGAATCTAGCCCAAATTGTTTGGCTATTAACATCATTTTGTAATTTCTCTATGCCTACATGTACATAATAAAAATGATTACTTTTCTCATAAAAGGTTTTAATGTACTGCAAAGGTGTTCTGATCCATTTATGGTTATCTTTTAATATATTACCAGACAAATATCAGAAAAGAGTCCCTCAAATAATCTCTCATTCATTCTTGAAGGTATTCTGTGAATTTTCCACTGCCACTTCATAAACTGCTATTGGTCTTATCATTGATAATGTTTGTCTACTTAAAAACATATTTTTTCTTGAGGTAATACGGTGTTTTCCTATGTATATCCAGGGGAGATCATTGCTTTTATCTTTCACACACAAAGCTACCCCCGTTTAAATCATATTTCATTTATATATGTGAGTAGAGCTCTAAATGAATTTTTTCCATACAGATATCCCATTAATCTAGTACCATTTATTGAGAACCTGATTTGCTACCTACAGAATCATTTTTATCATAAATGAAGTAACCATTTATATGAGGGTGTTTTGAAAAAGGTTGTGGAAAATGGAATCAAAAGATAATAGCATCGTTTTACAAACTTTGTCAAGCTCCCTCATCTGTTTCTTGTATTTGTTTACAGGTTTTATATTTATTTTGGTGCATCCTTACACCAATACTATACTTTAATATCATGTAAACAGTCCTTTTGTCCCCCTGTCCAATGGTGCCTTGGCTTTCTTTGTTGAGGAGCCCTAGTGGTGTAATGGTTAAAGACTCTGACAACTAACTGGTAGGTCAGAGGTTCATAGACACCAGCTGCTCCACCAGAAAAAGATGTGTCAGTCTGTTCTGTAAAGTTTTGTACTCTTAGAAAATCTAAGAGTTGGAATTTATGTGTCATGGAAGGTTTGTTAGGGTTTTTATTTTCTGTTGTTGTGTGTCAGTGAAATGATTCTGTCAGACAGCAACTGTGTAGAAGTCTATAGGTTTCCTTGGTTGTAAGCTTTATGGAATCAGATGGCCAGTTCTTTCTCCCACAAAGCGGCTGAGAGGACACAAACTGACAACTTATGGTTACTAGCCAAGAGTTGCCAGGGATCCTTTGGCTATTTTTGTTGTTAGGTGTTGTCGTGTTGGTTCTAACTCATAGATGCCTGAAATATCTGCAGCCCCCGTGGTACGGTGGTTAAACCTAGTCTTGCACAATCTTTGCAATCATTCTTATGTTTGAGCTCATTGTTGTAGCCACTTTGTTGATCCACTTTGTAAGTGGTTTCCCCCCGTTTTTGCTGCCCCTCCACTTTACCAAGCATGATTTCCTTTGCCAGGGATCAGTCTCTCCTAACACCATGTCCAAAGTATAAGAGATGAAGTCTCACCAACCTTCCTCTGAATGAGTATGATAGCTATACTTTTTCAAAGACAGATTTGTGGCTGTCCATTGTACTTTTAATATTTTTTAATATTAATATTTTAAAACAAATTTATCCAATATCATTTATGCTTTGATCTCGAGTGCTGCTTTCATGAGCACTGATTGTGGATCCAAGCAAGACTAAATACTTGGCAAAGTCTATTTTTGGTATTCCCTGGAGATTTCATCACTTTGTTCCCCTTGCTGCTCTGTTGCATGCCCTTAGTGTTTGCCCCAATCTGATCGGGTCAGATTGGGCACAATTGTCCAAAAGGATATGTCAAGCTCTATCTAGGAGTGCAATGCTATCTGTGATAGAGTCACAATGAGTATGTGTGTGGTTCCTTCTTGCTTTCTTTCCACCATTGAGCTAATGCTGATTTGGGGGCTGTTTCCTCTTTGTCGCCCTCTGTTGGCAAAGTCTGTTAATTTGCTACTGAATTTGTTATTTCATCCCTTAGGTCTTGTATTTCCCTTTGGTGTGTGGCCTTTATCTCCTCTCTCATTTCATCCTTTTTTTCTGTATTGCTTCCCTCATATCCTGCATGACTCCAATCAGCATTCTGAAGATTTCTTTCTGGGACAGGTCAATGTCTGCTTCTTCTATGCACGTTGTTAGGTTCATGACTTCTTATGGCATTATCTTCTGTTTCTCCTGCTTTTTCGTTGAGACTGTTAGGCTGGTTGCTGTTTACGTGTTGCTTTAGAGGAGTCTGGCACCATCTTCTAAAGAGTCGAAGAGCACTAGGCTCACTCTTTGGTGGACTCATATGACTGCTTCTTCAAACTACCTGCAGGTAGCTGCACTGAGGGTGGTGGTGGTGGTGGGGTCAGGCTACTGCTGTATCTTCCTGTGGTTTCACTCTTATATTAGCCAACCAGTATTCCATTATAAAATGTGAGTTGGATAGTCCTCTCATGGGACACTGGTTGGGTTGTTGTGGGCCCACAAAGATGGTGTTTTACTGGCTGATCTCCCAGGATGCTGTGGTGGTGTGTCCCACAGGGCTTGGAGCACCTGTGACTGCATGTGCAATTGCCATCTGCAACTGGATTGCTGCAGAGGGTGGGAGGGTGTGCCCTCCTTGGTACAGATCACCATGGATGGCAGGCGAAATTACCCTAGTCGGATAGATTGCCGTGGCAGTTGGGCAGATGTTCCAGCAGCAGTGTGGAGCACCACAAATGGCGGGCAGGTGTTCCCCCAGTCATTTGTAGGACCTTGGGGTGTAGGTGGGAGTTCCCCCAGCGCTTGAAGGGGAGATCCCCCAGGCATTTTGGGTGGAGGGCGGGCGTGATTTCCCCAGCTGTGTGTAAAGCCAACAAGTGTGGGCAAGAGCTCCCCCAACTGGGCAGTCAGAGTTGCCCTAAGTGGAGGGGAGTGAGCTGGAGGCCAGTACTGGCTGGTGAAAGGAAAGAGAGGGGGGAAAGAAGAAAGAGAGAGAAAGGAGAAAACAAAGACAAGAACAAAAATGAAAACAAACTAGCACACACAGACAAAAACCAACAAAAGAAAACAACAATAAAGAAGAACTGAGCCTCCTGAGACTGTGGTGGGGAACAGAGAAGTGATAGAAGAAGAGGAAAAAGAATAAAAAGGGAAAGAAGAAGAAAATAAAATAAATACATACATAAATAAATATATAGCTGAGCCCTGTGTCATGCCATGTGCAGCACTGCCTCATGCAGTGTGCAGCACTGTCATGGGGAAGGCTGGAGCTCTCCCCAGTAGGTGGGTGGACCTTCCCAAACAAAGGGTAGGTGGGCTGGAAGCCAGCAGTGGCATGTGGAAGGAGAGAGAGGGAGAAGAGAGAAAAACAAAAGAAAAAACAGAAGAAAGAAATAGAAAAGAAAGAAAGAAGAACAAAGTCACAACTACGCTCTCTGAGACTGACTGTGGTGGGGAAAAGGGAAGAAAGAGAGAAGGAAAAAATAAAGAATAAAGAGATAGCTGATCCCTGTGGGGTTGGAGTGGTTGAAACCCTGCCCCAAGGTGGCGGGTGGGTGTGCCCTTTTGGTGTAGGCTCCCACGGGTGCTGGGTGGAATTGTCCTAGTTGGCCAGATCACTGTGGAGCTCAGGCAGAGGTTTCCTCAGCAGCGTGGAGCACTGGAGAGGGCTGTCGCAGCTGCCTTGTGCAGTGTGCAGCACTCCCGCAGAGGGCAGGCTGTAGCTCCCGTGCTGTTTGGGTGGAGTTACTCTAGGCGGAGAGTAGTGGCCTGGAAGTCAGCAGTGGTGTGTGAAAAGAAAGAGAGGGAGAGAAGAAGAAAGAGAAAAAAAAAAAAGACTGACTGCAATTGGAAAGAGAGAAGGGAGAGAGAATAAAGAACTTAGAAAGTAAGGAGACAGCTGAGCCCCGATTGCCTGACAGTGGGGCTGGAGGAATTCCAATCCTGCCTCAAGGTGGTAGCATATGGTGTGCCAGCTTGATGTAGGGTCCTACAGATGCTGGGTGGCATTACCTTCATAGGCAAGATAACAGGGGAGGCCAGGCAGATGTTCCTGCAGTGGAGATGACTGGTATAGCTGCTTTTTGCTGTATGCAGCACTGCAGCAGGTGGGGGACAGTTCCCTCAGCCACGTGTAGGGTCCCAGGAAAGTGAGGGATCCCCCAGCC